GAAACCAGGACAGTGATCATAAGGTTGCTTAATTCCCTTCACTGTTCATAAGACTGATGAAAGAATAGGCCATACTGACCCACTCTACTGGAGCAAAAAGAGGAGGAAAAAAGTGAAAAGCTTCTTGCAAAGCGTCACATATTTTTGTCTTAAATTTATTTTGAAGGCATTGACAAAGGCTGAAGACCAGTTTAAGAAAATAATTGAACAGTACCAGGAGGAAAGATTTGGTTGTTTGGCATACTATGGAATTGGAAAAGTGTACCTCAGACAAAACAGGTTGGTATAATATAAAGCTTCAGTATTTGATACAAAAAATATTTTCATTTGAGAAACCATGTGTGGGTTGTTTTTTTTTAATTATTCTTTGTTAATCACTAAATTCATAATCAGACTGATTTACTACAACTTCAAGTTTGTTACTGCTAAGGATATAATGGAAGCTGCTGAATCGAGCGGACTCCAGGGCATGGGGATATGACAGACCAGCACACCCGTGCAGTGGAGGAGAGCTCGTAGGAGAAGGGCAAAAAATTATGATCTTGGGGAAAATGTATCATAAAGAAAGCTTAACTTATCTCAACACTGGGGAGACTGGAGGGTAACCTTGGTTTTAGATAAGGCAGCTGCACCAGTGAGTCATCGGGTTCCTTGAGAGAGATAAAAAGTAATGTCTTCCTGAGCTAGCCAGACCAGCATGGGGAGAGGGGGGGAGTGTATACGTGGCTCAGCCGAACATAAAGTGCAGAAACTGGGCAACGAATAAACTTGAGAACAAAGGGCTTGAGCTGGCTTCAACCCAAGTATTCCTGGTGGTATTTCTTCTCAGCGTCCTGATGGTAAGCATATAGAGTCCGGTAATGGGAATCACATTTGTATTGATGTATTGCAATTGCTATGTTATGTTTGTGTTGTGATTTCACTATGTCACTGTATTGCTCTACTTAATCAAAATCACTGGTAACGCCTGTGATGGGTTGACCTTGGCTGGCTGCCAGACTCTCACCCAGCTGCGCTCCCACTCCCCTTCCTCAATGGGAGAGGGGGAGAAAATGAGATGAAAAAGCCCAGGGGTTGAGATAAAGACAGGGAGATCACTTGCTAATTACAGTCACAGGCAAATCGGACTCAACTTGAGGAAAAATAGTGTAATTTATTGTCTGTTCAAATAGTTGGATGGTGGGAAACAAAGTAAAAAACTAAAATCACCTTCCCTCTACCCCCTCTTTATCCCAGGCTCGACTTTACTCCCTCATTCCTGACTCCTCTACCTCTTCCTCCCCAGAGCCATGCAGGGGGATGGGGAGTGGGGGCTGTGGTGGGTCCATAGCAGCTCCTCTCTGCCGCTTCTTCCTCCACACACCCCTCCCCTGCAGCGTGGGGCCTCTCCACGGGCCGCAGTTCCTTCAGGGCACATCCACCTGCGCTGGCAGGGGTCCTCCACGGCTGCAGCGTGGATATCTGCTCCAGTGGGCTCCTCTCCAGGGGTGGCAGGGGAATCTCTGCTCTGTGCCTGGAGCACCTCCTCTTCTCCTCCTTTTTACCTTGGTGCTTGAAGGGCTGTTTCTTACACTTTTTTTCCTTACTCCTCACAGCCATGCAGTATGTTTTGTCCTTTCTTACCCACGCATTCCCTGAGGTGCCACCATCTTGCCTGAGGGGCTTCAGCTGTGCCCTGTGGTGGGTTCGTTGGAGCCAACTGGAACTGGGGCAGCCCTGGCCTCTCCTCGCAGAGGTCACCCCTGCAGCACTGGCCTCCACCCCCCCGCCCAACCTTGCCACATAAGCCCAATACAATGCCAAATAAATCAAGTAAGTTTGATATTAAACATTAAATCCTCCTCGTGGAATATCTAAAAGCACCTGGTCAGAGAGTGTTGGATGCTGAGAGAGAATTCCTCCTTCCCACTGCTGCAGCATAGCCAGGTGCAGTCTGAGACCCAGGAGGTGTCTGCGCCCCAGTCCCACAGCTGTGGCTGTTGTTTCCCTTGGCAGTTTTGACCCGTGGTGAGGCTGCATGTGTGTCCCAAAGAGGTGTGTACACACACACATATGACAACACAGCTGGCCACCCAGACTACCTCAGGCAGAGCAGCTCCCATGTATAGCACTACCTGAACAGCAGTGTCCTGTGCCTCCTCCCTGGCTGGTCAGGGTTGAAGGTCACTAGTGAACATACGTGTGCCCTCACTCTCTAGATTGACAAGCACACCCACATTCATCGGTCCCTTGAATATCAGCGCAGGCTCTCAGTCTGCCTCATATCCGTGCCTGGACTCTGGGCCCCTTACCCAGGCTGGCTTACTGGCTCACGCCTTGAGTCTTTTATACTGAAGAGTCCTTAAACAGGTAACAATGAACCAGATGCTCTTTCATTCCACGTACCCTTACAGCTACCATTTTTTTCCCTTGCATCATAAAATGAATTGTGAAAGTATTACAGGCCATGTAGAAGTTATTCATATATGATCTGAACATGTTGTACCTGTTTCAAACTTCAGATTTTCAGATGCGCTCGATCAGTTCATGAAATCACAAACAATGTTTAATCACAAGATTGTACCTGGAGTATTAACTTGGCCCACAACATCTCAGGTCATTGAAGAGACGCGAACAGAGAACTTACAGGTATGTTTAAAAAAACAAAAGGCATAAAAACCTGTTCAACCTGTTCTGTCAAATGGCCTTTCCAAAAAAAAAAAAAAAAAAGGTTGTCATCCTCCTCCCTGCTCATTGCCACCCCCAAGGCCTGGTCTTTGTAGAGCAGAACTCTTCTTGCGATGACAAATTTGAACGCCTGGGAAGCATCCTATGTGCAGCACAAGGGTGGGGGCTCTGTGTCAGGCTCTACACTTATGTATTTCTATGTCATAGTATGGTTCTAATCTGCTCCAAGTGTTTCATAATGGGTTAACTTCTTAGCTGTGTTACCAAACTTTTAAGTAGATGTGAATACTGTACACAATGTAATGCTAAAGAGAACCAGTTAAAAATTTGAATTAGCAAAAATGTGAAGTTGAAAATTTCAGCAGTGGTGCTATATTTAAAACCAAATAGGAGAGTTTGACTGTGTAGTTCTTAGTTGATGCAGTGGGAGTTGTATGGTAAAATTCCCTGTTTGACTTGAAAAGTCTAACTTGTGGTTCGGACACTACAAATTGCTTTCTCAGACTGAACAGCTTTTTTTTTTTTTTTTAAATTATTATTACTATTGTTATTGTTTTAAAACTATAATTGAGTCACTATTATTTGTGAAGGGTTTCTGGATAAACCATGCCATGAGAGGCAAGACACATGAGCTCCTCTGCATGGAGGCAGTTTGACACGGTAGAACATGCTAGGTTATTTGGTGTATGAACTTGGCTATACTATCCTGACCTGTTTCGTTTCTGGTAGAAGCAGCAGTACTGTTTTTTACTAAACAAAAACTGTCCTAAAGATTTCTCATAGACCCCCAGCTGACACCACACTAATCTGGCCACACTAATACGTCAGTGGTCTGGGACTTCTGGAAAGCATAATGCAAATATCTGAAAGGCTGTAACTGGTGGTCTGTTTGTTTCTAATGATGTTTTATTAATTTGGGCTCAATGCCAAGCCTGTGGGACGTGAACTGACTTTACATAAAGCCACAGAAATGTCTTTACCTCAGATGCTATTCTGGGAGATCTCGCTAGCTGTAGTGCAGGGCCAGGTCTGTGCTGTCCCTGGGAATGTACTTGGTCCTGTAATGCAGATCCCAGGTGAGACACTCCTGAAATGCTGGAAAATGACAGAAATGAGCAGGCACTCCGTTTTTGTCATGTTATCTGAGTAATCTGGCTCATCATTTTAGCAATGGAAAACTTACTATATTCTCATGCGTTTGGAGTTGGTCAGCATGTGAAACATTGGTCCAAGATAAACCTGCATGCAGGGAAGCTATGAGTACTTAGCTGATAGCAGTTCAAATGAGCTTTTGAATGTTTTGGCATAAAAGGACAGTCTTCCATAGCTTTCACTAGAAAAGAGTTGTTCTTTTGGTATTAGTTGTCTGCTGTTCAAAAATAGATGTGTGTTTCACTGCAGAGTTCCCTAGAAGTTTGTAAGTAGGTATTGAATCTTTTCCTGGTTTCTGTGCAATTTGTCTTACATCATTTTGTGTTTCTCAGTTGATTTTAAAGAATTGTATTGAGGAATGCAAGTTCCCTCCAGAACCAGATGCAATTTGTCGCTATCAGCAATGCCATGGCCACTCCAAAACTCAAATATATTTTTCAGACCCAGACTTCAAGGTAAATTTTTAGTTTAAAAGGGTTTGGGAAATAAAACTTCATGTTTACATGTTTTCTGCCCCCTTTCATATTAAAGAGCTATCTGGAACTCACCATCTTATCTACCTACTGTTAAGTTGTGCACTGTTTTCTGTTGGTTTTTTTGGTTTGTTTTTTTTTTTAAAGATGTTAAATTAGTATTATTTCTCAATGTTAGGGTTTTATACGTATTACGTGCTGTCAGCAATGTAGAGTGGAGTTTCATATCAGCTGTTGGAAAAAGTTGAAAACAACAAACTACAGTGATAAAAATGATAAGGTAAGAGCTGTGTCAGACAATAAGCATTTTCTTTTTTCTTTTTTTTGGTTAAGATTATAGAATTCCTTTGGTTTCTCATAAGTGCAGTGCTACAGCCTGATGTTCCACCTGCATGACAATGGCAGGAGGAGAGACAGGAAAGAGGAGTCTCTTGCTAATTTGTCTGACATGCAAGTGTGGGTAAAGCTTGCTGTTGCCTACAGAAGAAAGGCCTGTCTGTGTGAAGGCTTAGTATGCTTAGCATGTTTATCTTGCATCATTTATGTCCTCCCATATGGACATTTTATTCCTTCTGCAGTCTTGCTGTTAAAGCAACAGTTCGACGTTGAGTAAAGGAATTTTATAAAATACAGTATCAGCAGCCAGTATAAAATGAAGAGAAATCCAGGCAGAGTACGAACTCATAAAAGAATATTCTTAAAGTTGACTCTTGAACGTGAAGTTGGAGGAGAGTCTTTGCTATAGCTTTGGGAATAATAGGTGTATATCACAGATCTAGCATCCTTTTGACTTGCAGCCCTTGCCAAGTCAGCTGTCACTTGCTTTCCTCATCCAGAAAGAGTTTAAGACTGTGCTAGCTTTAATTACCTTGGTCACCTCAAATTAAGAAACTGATCGGTATAAGAATGTAGATTTTGTATGAATTTAAATGTCTTTGTTGTGTGTATCATCTTCTCCTACAGGATTTTCTTCAAGAATTGTGTTTCACTCCTGATTGTACAGGCCTTATTTCAAAAATAGTTATTTTCAGTTCTTCTGGTCTGGTAAAATGTGAAGTAAGTAAACGTTCATACAAAATACGAAAATAATCTTTAAAATATTTACTCTGGTAAAGGAGATAAAGTGATATGAGAATGTAACTGCAAACACATAAGTAATATGCTATCTTAACCACAGAATCTGAGCATTATTTGGGAATATTAATTACCTGTTCTCTTCTTACTGTTCTTCTGGTGGAGCAGGCATTACCTTATGGTATTGGTTAGTATTGTCATGGATGAGAACTGGAGCTTCATTTTATATTTAGCTTGTGCGACGTGAAAGGAACTGTTAGTTTAACTCAGAGCTAATCTTGCTAAATGAAATAATTGTGTTGGAAGTAGTGCTCTTACCCTCTACAGAGTCACAGGAAGATGGATACTTCTTCCCAGAGCAGTATTGGTCTGTGAGAAGCAAAAAAAAAAAAAAAAAGATTGTAAAGTTTGCTTCCTGCCCACTGGTAAAGCAAAACAGCCTTCCTGACTTTGTGTTACCTTTCAACCTGTCTTTTCTGCGGCTAAAGAAGTATTGCTACATACCAAGTTGAAGCAGTAGAAGATAATTTTAGGTAGACCTTCATGAGGCTTGTGTAGGCTGCTTTATCTCTTTTGTAGTACTACTTTTAGTGCTTTCCAAAGCATCAAGTGTTCCTGGGTTTTGAGAACAGCAATGTTGCATTGTAACCCAAATTTAATTAATATGATGTCACTTATTTTGGTAGTTTGAACAAAAAATCACAAAAACCAAGGAACCACCAAGAGCCAGTATTAAACAGAAATGTTCAAGGTAAGCTCTCTACTGTTTAAGTTGAACCAATTTAAGAACAAAACAGTTTTCTCTAGGATTGGTTTTCATGCCTTTTTAAGAATTGCTAAAATACCACAAATACTTTGGAAAGCTGTTCTTGCCCTTTGCCTCTGATAAACTAAAATGTCTGATAAAATACATTATGATCCAGTTATAAAAGCATTTAAATTAATTTGTAAAAGAAGATACAGAGCTACAGACTTATAACGAGCACAGGAGGGCATTAAGTGGTATTGCTGAATAAATTATTGGTAGCTCTATAGTGGTTCTACAGTTCTTCAAAAACAACATTTTCAGTTTGGCCACAGGAACCTGTTTTCAGATATATAGGATACGCGTTGATGTGAATCTGATTTCTCACACCTCTGTACTGAGGGATAAATTGTCCATTGCACCATTGACTTCCCAGCAATTTGAACCAATAGTTTTTGAATATAAATTGCTGCAGTCATCTTTAAGTCTTTAAACCTGAAACCCCATTTCATTGTGAAATCTGTGGGCGGGGAAGTAGCATGTTGTTTGGGAAAAGTGTAATTTAGAGGCTATGTGCAGAACTCGAGGACTGTTTCTTTACTTTTGCTCTCCATACATGTCTTTCATTTGTGCTAAGATGCGTAACAATTGAAATGCTAAAAGAATAGGTGTCTGTTATTCTTCTTAATGGATTGAGTGTCTTAATTACACTCGATGTTCACTGCATGTGTGTCTAGATTAGAATATCACCTTTGTTTTCAGTCTGAGATTGCAAGCATCATTCTATTCCTTCCCCTTGCTAGAGGGAAGAAACTCAGCAAGATTTTTAGCTGGATGGGAGAGGTATTGCTGTGTGGCATAAGTTCAACACCACTGTTCCACAGCATTTATTATCTAACCAACATTCTGTGAATGTTTAGAAGGTGTAAATAAAAACTGTATATAATGATGCTACTTCTGTTATTGATGCACGTACCTTTGACATAACCGAGTTTACACTTTTTGGTCAAGTAAGGTTATAAATAACGAGGAATTATGCTGAGAGGATGAACAAAATTGATTTTTAAAAGTTAAGGAAATCAAATGTTAATATTTGGTTCAAAATGCTGAGTTATAAATTAAGAAAAAAACCTGATAGTATTTAAGTTAATCCTAATTCAGACATCATTAATGGGAGTAAAAATTATTACATCTTGAGGATATTATTACACTTACATACTTGATCTTTACGAAACTTTTATGAAATTTTGTGGTCTCTTCTAAAGGAAAACTAGCTTTATTATATTTGTATTTTTCAGCATAATATTTTATAGTAGAATGGAGCTTATAGCTATTGTAAGACATGAAAAATAACTGAGATGTGCCTAACTCCTTTGGCAACTTATCTCAGCTAATGTTAGGCTCACCGCTTAATTGCTTTTTTCAGTCTTAGGAAGTTAAAAATGAAACAAGAAAAAAAATTACGAAGAAAACATGCACGAGAAGAGGCACAGAATTCTGCTAAAAAGAAAATAGAAGAAAACCAGATGGGAAACAAACCATCTCAATACAGTGATCACGGTGGTATGTGGAAGTATAGATTGTTGTTTTAAGTTATCACAGGGTAGCATAATTAGCATTCTGAATGTCCTAAGTCAAATTATAGCGGAATACTAATATTGAACATAATCCCCCCTTGAAGTTCTGGTTTTAATTTCTAAATAACTGTAAGATGTTAGTGTATGGTTAAGTTCCTTGTAGAAAACCTTTATTCTTGCTTCATTGGTTCATGAAGAAGCAGCCTAAAGACGGCACAGGTTTAAATTCCAAGTTAATCTATTTAAAAGTGGTTTCAGAAAAAGCTTTATGCCCAACAAGTTAGGACACTGCTACAGAAAAAAACAACTGCATCTCAGATAAAGAACGAACAATATCGTAACTGCAGAAACTTCAACCTGTAAGTATGTAGTCAGTTCATGCTTCAGCTTTTGTGTTCGAGTTATGTTGGTCTGCAGCGTTCTGTATTTCAGAAGTGTGAACTTCCACTGCATTTTGTATTAGGGCAAGCTACAGTGCAAAGAAAAATGGGTGATTTTTTTTTTTTTTTTTTTTAAATTTTTGTCTGTATTATTAACTTTAAACTAGTGCTCACGTTCATTTCCTTGTAGAATTTCATATTAAAAACTTTGAGGGCGCTTTTTCATCCCATACATGCCATACTCGGAGTTCTCTAGAACCCTGTTGCCTGTTCAATGGCATATCCCGGCACTTTTGCTTTAAAAAGCTTTCAGGTGCTAATCTTTTTTTTTTTTTTTTTCCTTCCTTAACCATTTTGTTTGAGAGCAGTCCCTTCTGTTAGCACCATAGGTTACTATTTTTGCTTCCATGTGATTTTCTAAAATTGCATTCAGTTGACTTTGTGTTGGGTTTTTTTTTAAAGTCTAGTCTATCTCCTTTTCTATGGCTTATCTTTAGTTTTGGTCCTTGCATCCCCTGCAGGTCACTTAGTTACATGTATGTGACTTGACTGTCCTAAATGCCCTTAAAACTTCTAAGAACTGAAAATGCCTTTGGTGTGACAAAAACACTCACGCTGAAGTACTGTGGGTAAAAGTTGGGACACTGATGCAGGAATATGTCAACACCAAGCAACTTAACACAGTTCTGCAAAAATCTGTGTGTTGGTGTTGGCCAACCTTTTTAATTTGTCCTGAGTTAATTCTGTAATAAAATTGAAGTCTTGCATGTCTTTGGAGACAAGTTAACTGTTACCCTGTTTTTTTCATTTGGGGAAATTTCATGAGGAAATCTTTCAAAAAAACATCTAATTTAATCTTCCAAGCTATCTGAGAGGTTGAGAGCCCAATTTCAGGGGAGAGCTACATCACAAAGGGTTTTTTGTTTTGTTTTTGGCAGCAGTAATAGCTACCTTTAAATAAGAACAAATCTGCTTGTAAATTGGAGAGGACTGCAAGTGAGAGGAGCACTTGTTTGTATGCACATTTGTAAGATAGAGAGGTTTTTAATGCAGACTCCTGCAGGATAAACTCGGGCATGGCTTATACCTCTAGTGTTCATTGAATCTGTTAGTATGCTTGGAACTGTTTGTGTTACAATGCTTAATTATTCTAGGTGTAATATGTATTTGCTTTGGTTTTTAAAAAATTCTTTTCAGATCTACATCTTTTGACTATGGTTACTGTCAGGTAAGCTCTGAAAGTGGCATTCTCTAAATGTGTGGTCTTGAAGAATAATGAAAGGTGAAGGCTGATATGAGCCAGTAATCTTTTTCACTCTTGTTCTACAAAGAACCAGCAGCAGGGTCAGGGCAAAGGTTTGCCACTAGGTGTATGCTCAAGCGTTCAGAAGTGTACCTTTGCTCTGGGAGCTGATGCTTGGGGGAGTTTTGTCTGTGCATCAGGGCTGGCGTACAGTCCACACAGATAAATCTGTACAGGCAATTGCTTGAACCTACTATTACTGGCAGGTAATTTTTTTCTTTTTACTTTCTGAAATCTAGTTAAGGTGCTAAGGATTGTTTCTTTGTGTAAACCAAATTTAAAACAGTGTTGTGTCAAATTCATAATGCTAAGGCTAGTTTATATGGAAAGTTACATATTCTGTAATTTTCAGTGTTGTGATAAAGCAAATAATTGAAAACACCACTTTGTCCAAGTTACCTGTACTTTAAAGTTGATATTTTTAATTGTGGTAAACAGACATGAAATCTTGTTTTGTTTGTTTGTTTTATAAATGCCGTTATAGGTTATGGTCAGGATTTATATGCTGGTGATCGAGTCCTGCAGCACATCAGTCGAAATGCTGAGCAAATAAAAACAGCTGTTCGTGATGCTTCCAAACTATTAAAGGAATTACTTTCATGGTTTGTAATCAGTGAGGAGGATTACACGTCATATTCCAAAACTAGCAGCATGTCACATGAAGTGATGGAGCAGCTCATCACTTACTTAATTCAGGAAAAAAACAGAGTAAAAACAAGGGGTTTTATCCATGTGCTGAATGAGCTGGAAGAAGTGGATCCCAAATTACACAAGTGGCTGAAACATCTTAACAACCTGGGTAGGCTATATGTTTATGTAATAGCAGAAGACCTTATCGTGTCATAATTGTTCAGTTTACAGATGAAAAGATAACCTCCCTATTTTCCAGTCTTGCTTTCTTAACTTTAAATGGTAAGGTAAAGCTTTCCTCTTTTTCATTTACTTGATCCTTAGCCAGGATTGCTAGAGAAGAAAGTATGACCATGGGTAACACATGACAACCTCTCTTGTCTCTGCAAGTAAAGCATTCTAATGTGGGCAGGGCTTTGTCCATGTAGGAAAGAGAAAATTGAACAAATTTAGTTTTTTTAATGTCTTTAAATTCCAGAATAGGCTTAAATGATATTTGTATAAATAGTAAGATGCCAAAACCTTGGACAAGATTGGGTTCTTAATTCTATTCTGTTGCATCCATGTTTAAGGAATTTTTATAGATTTATTATACAAATAATAATTTGGTGTGGACTAAGAGTAGAACTTACATAAAGTCCATTTATCATTTTTGTTTGCATTTGCAAGATACAAAAGGTTTTACATAATCTGTTTCAGCTACTGTATATTTAATTTCTAGAACAAGCTGTTCCTCTTTGAAGAGGAATACCACACTGTAAGCACTAAAACTCTGAAGCCGGAATGAAATGTTGGGGTTTTTTCATCTCTTTTAGGTCTGACAGCTACAAAGAACTTTCTCCTTCAATATGGACAATTTTTAAAAGAGCTTGACCTTTCTATTTTAACCACACTCTGGAATGAGAAGTATGGTCGTAAATTTGGCTATGTGACAACTAGTTCTGAAAACAAAGAAATTCATGATTATTTCTTAAAACCACCCCTAGAGAAAACTCGTTGTTTTATATGGCTGTTAGAGGACAACAGAGAAAATTTTCCATTTCTTCATCAAGCTTTAGATGAATTCTTTGATAAAATGGGTAAGTATGCAAAGGTCATAATTCTTACAAGCTCTGAATTTTATCTGTTTTTGCACCACATTTGATGGGCTCTGTTAAGGGCAAAACCTCTGCAAACTACTAACTGCTTCATTATATGGAATCTTCTGTGTTCAGTGCTTAAAAAGGCAATATGGCCTCAAAAGGCAAGCCACCCTTTTTTAAGTTACGTTCTGCTGTTTTGTTTCATGTGCCACAACCAGCACATGAGTTTAGCTTTATGCATATATGTTGTCCAACCGAAATAAGTATTTATCTTTCAGTTTAAGCATAAAGATTCTGCAACTACAGTCTTTGAGATGCTTTGGTGGTATTTCATAAAGGATTGTAATAATTATTACTATAATTTCATAGCTCACAATTATAAGTTACATAAAATATTACTATTTCTATTTATGGATGTGACTTTGTTATGCTTTCAATAGATGACCCTACCATTATATTGAAGAAGCAGGGAAATGAAAATGTATCGGTAAGTGTCTATTTGGTATAAGCTCAAAACCAAGTATGAGTGTGGTGTTTCAAAAATGTGCAGAAGTGAATAGAGACGTGCATCTCTTGGTTTATTTTACATGATCATCCTTCAGACGTGATTAGAGATTTACTCTTTTGTTTTATCTTCTGCCCCCACTCCCACTTTTCTTAAAGCATTTGAAGACTGTGTACCATTTTTCCTAAACTTCCGTCAATAAAGTTGTTTAGAGTTTTCTCCTTAGCTAAAACACAACCTTTTAGATGATGAGCATTTCATGGATGCAGATCAGGAAGTTGTAGTGAAAGCAGATGAGGGTACACTGGATGTGCCGTGTCACTTCCTTTGGATAGGGAAAATAAGGCAGATAAGGTGCATGGGAATAGCATTTACATATTACTTGATAACAGCAGTTTGGTGTTAACTTTAAAAAAGGTTTCTCTAAAAGTATCATTGTGGAATTTAAAAAAAAAAAAACTTCCCGTTTTACAGAGAGACTCTTACAAACTGCCGTATCTGCATATTTACCATGACAACTGAACTTGAAGCCTGATGCTTCCTTGAGCGTGCTTAAGTTGAATCTGCATAATTTTGGGCACTAATTGTACTGTATATTTTAAAGTCCAAAGCAACAAATGGGAAAGTAGTGTAACCCAGCTTTACCTTCAGATGTCATTAAATTGTAAAGCTAGGAATTTGATGTTTGTTCCACTAATAAGCAAAGTAAATTTGAAGTGAGTTAGACAAATTTTGCATTTGTTCATTACAATTTATAGATGCTTTTCAGATTCAACCCGTAAGTCTTAAACTGTATATCATTCTGAATCGCTTTTTGATTAGTATCTTAATTAAAATCTATTCTAATTGTCAGAAGTATATTATGTATTTCAGTTAATTATGTTTGAGGCACTCTCATTTACAATTATTCTAGCCTGCAGATAAATTTATCTGTACAAAACCAACATTTACTTTTGACACAGAATAAATCTTTAGAGTTAATTAATTAATATACATCTTAATAAGATGTGAAATCCTTTGCTTTTTCATTTGATGAATTGGAAATCCAAGAATGAAATGAAAGCCATTACAATAAAACTACTTCTATTTCAGTGTTACTTATATCATAAAATAAACTGTTAGTAAGTTACTGTTAGTAGAGTTTTGTTAATCTATAATCACAGTCCTGTTAAAAAGTGAAGATGCATTTTAGTTCCTTCATCATTGCATATCTTAGAAAATTGAAGGGACCAGAACATTTCACAGTTCTGTTTGCTTCTTGTTCCCCAAATGAAACTCTGTTGTGTGGGATGTCACAGCTGCTTAAATATGCAATTTCAGCTATAAGTAATGAGTAAGCATCTGAAATACGTAAAATGATAGAATAATCTGTTTTTAAAAATCAATGTTCTATGCGTTTAAAGAGGAAAATGATGAAAAGGAACAAAATGGGTGAAGTCTTGCAAAGCTCTGTTTCTTTTTTTGTTTTCCAGCTGGGGATGGAGTGGAGAGGGGGAAGATTGCATGCTTAACCTTGTAAATCTTGCTGGTCAAACCAGAATGAGAATTTTAGTATGAAACTTTTTAAAATTCACATACTGGTTTTGGAAATGCATCATAATTTTATTCTAATGAAAAAAACAGTGATTTTATTTTTCTGTTTCAGACTAATGGTATCAAAGTTAAAAACAAAAACAGGAAGAAGAACTCAAAAGACTCGAGGGTCAGTAACTTTTTAGCTGCTTACTACAAATAGGTTTTTTAGAATTGCTGGCATTCAGATGTATAGAGGCTGTTCTCCTAAATACCTTGTGGAGACTCATTCTTGAAGTAGTTTTTCCTGAAGTAAAATAATGCTGTTAAGACTAAATTAATACAGTTTTGTTTTGTTAAAATATGAATTTGTCAGTATAAAATGTATTTCTAAACTTGGAAAAAAAGTTATTTAGGAATAACTTTGGCTCTGACTGGATACAAATATGTTCAGTCTATCCACTGTCTTCATTCAGAATGACTGTTTTGATCTTAATTTCCCATATGGGAAAATGAAAAAAACACCTGTGAATACAGTACACTGACTGCACTATGTAATGAATGCTTTAGGCTCCATTTCCTTTTGCACTGACAAATAGCAAATTTGGAGAAGAACACTTTACCAGTCATTTTGAGAAAGAAAAATGTGTCCTTACACCTCATGAAATATGTCTGAAATTATGTCTTTAACTGTCTTTTCTGATAATTTTTACGGACGTATCAGTGACTGAAGACGCAAGTATTCCACTTATTGCTCAGAAAAATGTTATTAGTTGTTCAGTATTTTACAGATTTTGCTAGGAATAATATCCTACCTGAAACTTATACTGGTTTTTGTCCTGCTTTTATAAGATTTTGCTTTGTTGAAAGCTTCAGATACCATCTTCTTTGTTTCCTCCATGACCCTACCTTTTTATAATTCTACTAGAATTTCAAGAGTAAACTTAAAATTCTTCCTATTCTCATCAGCCAGGTTTTTCTTTTTCTGACTTGGATGCATTTTTACAAATCTGTGTATTTCTAAATTTATTAGATAATAAAAACTAAAAGACAACTAAAACATTTGTAATGGTCAACATAAGAATAACAGGTGTCATATTAAAACCATGTGGAACTAGGGATAACTCAGACTTACTTGTAAGACATTAAAGCTTGAAGGCTCTCAAATGTAAAGGAAGAGATTCCAAGAAAGTCAGTGGAAAGAAGTTTTACAAAAGTCTTAACCAAGTGAAGCTGTGGGGATGTTTGTTTTTTAATCCAAACTCAGTGAAAAATCAGGCACATCTAGGATTTTGATGAAATTGGTAAAAAAAGAGGGAGATTGGGATGAATATCCCAATTTCTTTTTTCCAAAATAAGTTCTGAAGAAGAAATTAATAATTTTAAATTAAGAACTTAGTACTGATAATTGTACTTAAAAGTTTTGCAGTTCATAATATGGCATCTGAAGATGATAAAGTTACAGAACAAGGTTCAGTGTAAATAAGTTACTCATAGTCTTTGCAGTGGATCATTTTGCATATACTTTTGTGAGATAAAAAAAAAATAATCTGTTTTTAATTAGTCTATTTTAGTATTATCCAGTGGAGTTAGTACAGCACCACGAGAAGAAGATAAGATATTTATAGAAGAAAATACTTTGTAAGTACCATCATGCATCTTTGCTTTTATTGCCCAAACTCGAAAGTGCTTTGTAGGTACCAGAGAAGACAGAGTCTTCAGAGTCACCAAGTCTGAGTTAACATCTAAGTGTGTTTGAGATGAACTTGTATAGAGCCATTACTTCTCTGCTTCCAGGACAGGTGTAAGGGGTATTAGAATTTTAAAGATTTTAACAATGTAGGAAGTAACCAAATGGTTGCCAGGCTGCAGCCCAGTACATCTGCTAGGCCGAAAGCTATTCTTTCAAGTAAGATCTTGCTTGCTTCATGTTCCATTTTAATGTAGCAAGAAATTAGTTGATAAATTTGTACATACTCCATCAGTCACAACTGAATTTTGCCATCCACGCCATATCAAGCAGGTTGTGATGTTGACTTGAGATAATGTAGAGCATTGCTCAGAATCTGTGTGTTAATCGGGAGTCACTCTTGTATTCTGAGCCCGGTTTTGCTCTTGCTTATAGATGTGAAAGCTGCTAGGCAAGAGCTAGGCATTATTATTATTATTATTATTATTATTATTGTTATTATTATTATTATTATTATTATTAGCTAGTAGTGGCAGGTCAGTGAATAAGTTTAACGGTTAAGTGTTTTGGGGATAGTGTTTATTCTGCTTGTTAGAAGAAAGTTTGCTATTGGGGTATATTTTTAGCACTATGTAGTTACCATACAGTATACTGTCTTCAGTATATGTGAAAAATACAGTTATTTTCAGAGACAAGAATTACTGTTCATATGCACTATTTATTTCTTCTTCTCTCTCTTTTCTCTCTCTCTTTTTTTTTTTTTTCCTTCTTTCCCCTTCCCTTAATGCTACAGAGATTTTACAAATTCTTATGAACCATTTGTAATCCCAGAATATCTTCGGGGGCAACTAGAGGAATTTGAAGCTCTCTGTGACGTTTCAAATAGTAACAGTTATCAAAGACTTTTGGATAATAACCCAGATCAAACCTGTGAGAGCTTATATGAGTATGTATACATTTCTGTCCCTAGCAGTTTAAAGGGTTTAATATTACTTCATAGTTTTTATAACATACTCTATTAAGTGCAGAATTGAGTCCTGGTGGTCTCGTATATGTAGGTATGTACATGAAGGTAGGTACTAATGCTTTGAAATAGTTGCATGTTTTTAGTAAGATGTGGACAAGCAAGAGTATTACAGAAAATTTTTATGCTTAGCTTAAATGATTGTTCTTCAGTAGTTCTAGATGTTCTTTGCTTTTAAGTATTATTGTGAAAATATAATGTGTGAAATACAATTTTAGAATTACATGAAAAAGCTTTGATTAATAATGAGAACTCTTTCTTTTTTTTTAAGATATTTCTCTCAAATCTTGGAAGAACATGGCCCTATGGAAATTAATAATAAATTACTAGTTGGGGAATATGAACATTTCCCTGAAGAAGCTCAAAAGATTGTAGAAGATGAAGGTGGTCTGAAATCTTTTCTTCTGAAATCCCTTCGTTTCATTATGGTGGATGATCTTATTGGCTTAAAAAAGCATGCAGTTCTTATTAAAGAAAATATAAACAGAAATGAGACTGGAGATAATGAAGAAGAAAACGTTCCAGTCTGTGATGTACAAGAAAATTCTTCCCAGAACAAGCTACAGCTAAATCCAGCTGCTAAGGAATTCAAACCGCTGTCTTATCCTAAGCAACCCCATATATCAACATCTACTGACTTAACAGTAGCAAGTTATGAGACTCCACAATATTTGCCCTGGTCTTTTCCTAATTCATGTAAATCGGTGTATTCTTTGCATAGGCAGAATATTGATACCATAGAAAATGAGTCGTCGTTTTCAGACATTTTACTGAAGTGCTTTGATTCTAAAAATCCTGGTATATTTTTGCCTCAGACTTCCTGGGGTTATCAATATGGAAGAATATTGCCAGTGCCTTCTCAAATGCCTCTCATTTCAAATGTTGCCAAGCAACCTAGCTACATTTATGCTGATCCTGTACCTCATCAGGATAATGATGAATCAGCAATTTCAGACAGAAAATACATCTTCAGCAGTTTTATACCAGCTAAAATACAAACGTATGAAGACCCTCAGTGCCAACTGGAGAACTCAGATAACACATTTTATGGAGACAATTTTGCGGTTGCAAATAGTACAAATGAAGCTGAATGTGGTATACAAGTTATTAAGACGGAAAAAGAAAGCAGAGGAATACCTCTAATGAAGAACAATCCTCATACAAGGATGATAGCTGTTCAGGTAAGAAATTAAAATGGAACAGCTATTTGTGAGCTTTTAAGTAATAAATGACAGTGTTGAGCACATCCTTTTTGAATGATTTCTTTATGACTTCCCAAAGGGTCAAATGTTGTATAGAGTTTCAAGAGCAAATATTCCAAGTAATACGTCCAGCCACCCAAATGTAAGGGATCTTAAAAGTAGTATTTAGCATTCTCTAGTACTTATCTCCCAAAAAAGGCCACGAGTTGGAAGATACTGAGGTGTTTATCAGACTGGGAACTTCCTTGAACTTGCAGTTTAAGTTGCTGACACTTTCTACAACTACTTTTTTTTCATTTGTAATTAAAGAGATGGTCACTGAATTTTGTTCTGCCTGAAACTTTCGCAGATCTTTTGACCCAGGATCGAAGGAGGAAACTGGTGCACATCAGTTTAAACTTCGCTTTAGAGGTTAAGGAAAGTCCTTCTGTGTCATTGTTTTTTCTTTCTGTAATTAGTTCAGTGATTTGTTTTAACTTTCACAATATTTGAGGATTTAGATAATTTGTAGATTCTAACAGTTGCTGGCTGATGCTTCCCTCGTGGTCTTACAGTGGCAGCCCAGCTGTAGGGTGAGTTCAGGGGCAAACTCCCTCACATTTTTCTTTTCCCTCCTGAAGTAAAAAACCTGAAGTTTTGTTCTACAGGCGGAGAAAGCATTGCTGAGCACCCGGAAAGGGGCAGGGCATGCAGCTGAACAGAAGCGGGGCTGGAGCATTCACTCTTTAATGGTGCCCCAGAGTTAGATCAGCATACACCACTCATGAAAACACACTTGAAGTAACAGAGGGAGACTGGTCACATACGCATTTGTTACAGAAAACATTTTGGATTAAGATGCCGGGTTTTCAGAGTTACGGATACGGCAGTTTCACACATCCATTTATGAGAGATTGTCCAATATGCTAGAGGGACTGCTGGGGAGGAGTTCCTCATTTTCGTTTGTTTAAGGGAGGAATAGCTTTTTGTAGCTGTAAGATAAATAGTCATCTTTTTATTATTACTTTCTAAATTAGGAAAATATTAGCATGTTTTTTTCAAACTTGTTTTGTGTACAAAACTTTTCTTCACTTTAAATCTTTCCTGAGCAGCTGCTGAAAGTTAGTTTCCCATCAGTCTTGGCAGATTAATTTCGTCACTTGGCTGACTGGGCTTTTAAAATGGGATTTCTGTTTGGTTCTTGAACACGTGCAACAAAGAGATAACAGAAGAGGCAACAGTTTTCAATTTAGTGAGTTCTGGTTAGCAGAGATCAAAAGAGCGCTAGGCAACAGGTATGTTTCTGTTTGCAAAAGTGTGGTAGAGCAAGGCATTATCTGACTATGATTTTTTATAGCTTATTAGAATGGCAACATCATCAACTGGATCTTTAATATGTTGCATGATTAGATTTTAAACTTCGGTTCTTTCAGTAAGTCCTTGATGGGTGGTGTTAGAGGAAAACAAGCAGGGACTCTGAAGGTCGTTGAGTCTAGTCCCTTCTAAGTAGAGGCACTTATGTAGTAGATCTTGAGTTTAGGAGGAGCCACAAAACAGCTCCTCAGTGAGCTGTCAGACGCTGGTTTTGCAAGTCTTAAGTTTTCAGACGTGTAGAGCACAGCTGTGTTTTAAAGACTCCTAGAACTGTTCTTAATGTAAGTACTTCATGATCAATTAAACTAGGGAAGGATCACGACAAAAAAAAGTGCTTTCATTAAAGATTGAAATCCATTTCAGAAACACTTGCATAATTTCTTTTTACATTGTAGATAGACCTACTTCATAATGTAGTTGGATTTGTAAAATTGTAGGTTAGGTACAAAAGCTCTAAAACAGAGCTGACCTACTAGTTGCATGTATAAACTGGAAAACTTTTTAATCAACTAATGATTCTTTGTATTCTAGGTAAATCGTGAAGTAGCTGATAGGGAAACTAATACCTTGCCTTTTCATCCATTTGAAATGCAACAAGTAAGTTACCTGCATATTTGTTTATATTTCTCATGAAGAAGGTAAAGGAATGCACAAAAATTTAGTAGTGAAAAGATGAAGGTTCTCTGAAAATGACATGTTTTAACAGGTATTTTTTATTTTGTTTTGTTTGGTGGTGTGTGTGTATGGTTTGTGGTTTGGTTTTTTTTGGGGGGGGAGAGGAGGGTTCTCCCCCCCCTCCCTTCATGTTGGGCTGTATTCTGTGATGTTCTTGGAAACTTCACATAGGCCCACAACAAGGAGGTTTGGGAGCTTTGTTCTGTAGCTATTCAAATGTTGGAATATGTTTTAGGGAAATTTAGTATTTCTTCTCCAAAAATCTTGAGGTTTGATTTAAATACTCCATTTGGGCATATAGACAGTTCGGACTGAGGTTAGTGGTAGTCTTATGTCTGTACAAGGAGATAAAAGTGAGAAAATGTGGCCTTTGAACTCATCATATTCCATTTGTGGTCAGACATGAATGTTCATTTCCTGAGCTGGACTGAAACTGTGATACGACTTTGTGTTAAACATTGTCCCCCCAAAGCCAACCAACAAACAAACAAAAAAACCCCACCCCAACCACACTCAAGATTTTGAATCTCAACTGACAGCAGACTATTCCTTTTAGACGTCATAATGTTTGGTGCCCTGTGGTAACAGATATTAGTTATATATATTTTATAACTGATTTATTTTCAGGGAGATATTCTACGTATGGAAAAAGAGCATCAGGTATTAAAAGAACAACTTAAAGAAGCACAGGAAAAATATGAACAGTTACAAAGCCGAAGCTTGGAGGAAATCGGTGCTTTAAAAGAGCTACTAAAAAAAAGTGTTGAAGAGACTGAGGTAATGTTTTTATCCATGCAACAGTGGGACAAAATGCAGTGGCTCACGAGATTGGTTGTAATTGATCAACAGCATCATGGTTTAACCTGGCAGCCAGCCAAATACCACGCAGCCGCTCACTCACTCCCCCCACCCCCAGCGGGACGGGGAGAGAATCGGAAGGGTAAGAGTGAGAAAAAAAATCGTGGGTTGAGATAAAGACAGTTTAATAGAACAGAAAAGGGAAACTAATAATGGTAATGATAGAATATACAAAATGAGTGATGCACAATGCAATTGCTCACCACCCGCACTGACCGATAACCAAATAGTGATTGCTACTTCCTGGAACACGCCTACCATTCATATACTGAGCATGATGTCACTTGGTATGGAATACCCCGTCGGCTAGCTGGGCTAGCTGTCCTGGCTGTGCTCCCTTCCAGCGCTTGTTCTGTTTTGTTTTGTTTTTCTTGAGCTGAATGTCCTTGACTAGCAGGGTACTTAGCAACAACTGAAAACATCCGTGTGTTATCAACATTCTTCTCATACTAAATCCAAAACACAGCACTAGGAAGAACTTTAACTCTATCCCAGCCGAAAACAGGACAAACAGTATTTTTGAAACTTGAATGGTAGTCCTCATTGCTGTGAAGGCTGACTCAGCAAACCTCACAATCTTTGTGTGTCATCTTCCTTCGAACACGCTTAAACACAGGGTATTGGTTGCCTCTGTCGAGTGGATAGGTATTGGTTTTAGTTCAACCCAAGAACAAAAAAGCACTACACTGCTGACTCTTTCCTCCTTGATTTGCTGGATTTGCTAACAGGCTTTATTTCCATGAAAACGTCTGGGAGCAAGAGGAGTAATCCCCAAACAGCACTGTCAGCCTATTATCTCTTTGACTTGATTAATTTTATAGTTAAAGCTGTAGATGCTGCAGGCTACCCGTTTGTCTACATGAAAAGGAATTTTTCCATTTTAAAAAAAAAAAATTCAGGTGAGACTAAAACTATCTCTCCCCATGCCCTCTCTTTAATCTTTAGTAAAATGGGGCCTGTCGTTCAATCTCAGTTTAATATATTTTTTCCCTTTCAATGGTGTTTTGGAGTAAACTCATGTACTGCAGCTTGGGAGCTCCTGAGTTCTAGCTTTACCATTGGCTGTGAGTAGCCTGGTAAACTTTAATATGAGGGAATACGGAGTCTCACATCTGTTTTTCTGTATGAATATTTGGTAAAAATGTGAGCTCAAAAAGTTTTGAGCTGAAAGCATCGCTGTATGCAGGGTGGATGAACTTGTCTGCGGACGTTGTAGGTGCTTTTTTACTTCCCCCCCCCATATTTCCCAATGATGCATTAATGTTACTTTGTGGTTTTTAAGCAGTAATGGCAGCCATATGCTGTCTTGCTCTGTTATGACTTGTAACTTCCCAGTTGTTAGTACTGAAACAACTGTATCAGTACTGATTTTGAGCTGGATTTTGAGTTGGATTTCAGTATGTATTTGTACGTGACACTGTGGAACTGGGTTTCTTCTTTTATCTGACTGCAAAACAGGGTTGCAAGAATTCTGAAGCCGTATAAATGAGGTGCGCAGATCATTGCAGGAAAGAATTTATGAGTATGTTGCCCATGCTAAACACCTGAACTAACAGTAAATTAAGCACTAGTAAAACTCTGTTACTGTAATTTTCACTGGCTTTGCTTCTGCTGTAACTTGCATTTGAATAAAATAGAAGTAATGTTTTCTTATTTTCTGCTTCTAGGTTTCAAAGAATGAGCTGGATTGGCTTCATCAAGACTTAGAAATAAAAGTGAAAAAATGGCAACAGGAGAAAAAAGAAAATCAAGAGAACTTAAAAGCACTAAGGAACACAGCTAAAAAGCATACAGATACCAATGATAGGTACTAATTTTATATACATATTTACATTGCTTTTCCTTTGCTTGATTTTTTTTTTTTTTTTTAAAACAGCAGTAAGTACAGGTATTTCTGATAGACTATGCTAAGTTTCACTATCTACTGATTCCATGATGTATGCAGAGTAAAAACTCAAACTTGTTGCCCTGGTTATGTCATTCTGAAATGAGTTAAATGCAATTGTTGGATTAGAGCTGCTGTTAACAGAATCTACATATAATGTTATTTAGCCTAATTAATAAATACACTACTCCTTCACTATTTAAGATCTTCCCATGTTTTCCAGAATCCTTTAGATCTGCACTGCTTTTTCACTTTTCTCCTTCATGACTTACCATCGCTTCTGCAGCGTGCTCCTCTACTGCATTATGATTAACTTTAAATTTTCATTTCCATTTTCATTCTTCTTCTGTTGTACAATCAACCCAGCCAAACTCTGGTCTGCATCTATTTTTCTTACATGCTTTTTGTCTGTTCTGCCACATAGCCTATTTGAGGGTCATCCATCCTTCTTTTCTCAGATTCAAGTAAAACTGCAAGAACCACATAACTGCATGTGTCTATTGTGGTTTTTTTTTACCGATCCTTCACCCTAAAGCAGAAATCTGCAGGGCTTTCCGTGGAACTTAAATCAATAATACCCATGTATGAATCCCATATGACCCTGTGTGCAGCAAACCCTGCTGTTCCCCTTGGCAATGAGCTCTCCTGGCGATGGAGGAGTGAGAATCAACTTCAGTCAACTTCTACTGTAGTCAACAAGCATCCATGAGATCATGTCACTGACATACTGAAAAATAAATCGTGTGTCATTTGATGAAGTGCTATCAGTAGCTTTTCCTGAAACATTCTAAACACTTCAGAAATCTTTAAGTATCCTAAGCATTGGCTGTGTAACCAGCTAGATGTTTCATCACAGTAATAGACTGAAATATGTACATGTCTGCTTTCGTGTTTTCATTTTTTTGCAAATTACACATAAACATTTAAAATCGCTTCTAGATAAGTGATGAAACTGACTGAGTAATAATTTTTCTAATCAGATTTGACAATTCCTACTGTATTTTTAATGTTCTCTCGGTTTATAGACCTGAGAAGACTTCTGTCCTTGAATGCTGTTGTGTTATCTTTAGTCTGAGTAGTTTGGGCCAAATCTCTCTTGAAAAATCATTGGCCTGCTTTTATATTAGTTCCTGCTTAATTAGAAATACTTTTACATGCACTTACAGTATTAAACAGCATATAAAACGTACATTGTCGCTGCTGCGTAATTGTCACTATGGTTTTAGAGGAACGTGTCACATACTTGCTTGTGAATATTTTTCAGAACAAGCTTAATAAATGTTTGATTACTCTAGGTATTCGAAGACCATTGACGAGAAGGAAAAGCAGTATAACATATATTTAAATACATATCTGGAGACCAGGTAAAACTCTTATACCTTTCAGAGGTATATACATTTTTCTACTGACTTGTCGTTACTGGAGTTGTCTGCTTCACTCTGAGTGAAGGCTTAGAAAAAATAAGCACTTTACCCTCTCTCTCTTGTTCTCAGTTAGTTTACTTTTACCTATCATAAATAAATACTATTTTCTTTTAGATATTTAGAACAATAAAAGTCTGGGTTTTCAAAATACTCTCATACATTTCCCTTGATTATATGATATTGTGTTCTAGAACACACGTTAGAAGTTGGGTGTGGTACAGACGTACTGAACTGTTCTATGTAGCTTTGGATCTTCACACGCTTATAGTCATGAATGTATATAAGGTTATCTAAACATTTTCTAAAAGTTACTCATTTGCACATAGTATAAAGTCAAGGTTTCATTTATAGATACATTCTTTATATATGTGATCAGGCTCAGAACAATAATACTTGCATGACTGCAGTAGTCAAACTCCAGTAAGCTTTTTAGGTTGCACAGCAAAATGTGGTTAAGAAATCCCAAGGCTGTGTCCGTAGAGCCAGCAGTATGGCTACATGAGAATGATACTATACCTGAAGGCATAAGCTGTACAATGTAAATGGAGATGCGTGGTTCTGAAGGAGAGAGAAGTAATAGCTGTAGAAAACCTCTAAAATGCCATGAATTTTAAATACTACTCTGTTGTAAATTTTACTCAAATATTTAACTTCTTTTTATTTCACAGTAATAAACTTGCTAATAAGAAAGTAAAATTGGAAGAGCTTATAAAAAAGAGTCAAGATGACTGCCAAGAGTGTGTGAAGAGAGCTGTTAAAGCAGAGGTACAAACAAAAAATCTTAAAAGGCTTTTGCTAGAGCTTGGATCATTTGCGCTGATAGTAGGTGGGGAAGATGACTAGTGAAGTCTTATCTAATAATTTACTTTTTGAAATAGCATCTAAAACTTTTCATAAGCATATATCAAACGTGTTAATCAACTATTGACAGGTGCTTTTCATGATGTTATCCTACAAAACTTTGCAGATCATCAAGGCACATTATTATTATTGACCAGTATTAAAAGTGCCCCAGAGTTTGGGGCATATAGTATTGCCCCAAACAAAATTCAACTAGTAATTGAGTTTCACACTTACCCTTGTTATGAATAGATTCCATTAGTAAGAATTAACCATAGGAACATAAGAAGTTCCTTGTTAAAAGTCAGTCATGGTTAGTGAATAGATAGCTACTTCTTTATCAGGTAGAATCAGAATGCAACAACCGACTTGTGTGTTTCACTTGTGTGTTTCTCTGCTGAAAGGAGAAGGGTACTGATAAATATCAAGATTTTTTCTGAAACTGTGTTTTTTATACTGGAAATGCTTTGAATATCGTGAACAATTCTCCTTTTTTAAGAAGGGCTTGAAGGCTGTCTTGTCTGCAGTAGGATTTTTATAAAAAGATTAGATTGTCCACATTAGTCTTCAACCATGCAGTATTTAAGAGGCTGCCTTACTCACTTTAAGTGTGTGTGTGTATATATATACATTTATGTATACACATAGAGAGAGAGAGAGAGAGAGATATGATAAGTTGCAAATGGAACATTTACGGATGCTTTCTACTATCAGTTGAAGTGAATGTAGCCTTTTTATCCTCCCGAAGGCCTGCCAGGGCTGTTAATTCCACTTGAAGTTCCTCACTGTAGGAACTGTGTGTATGTGTGTTGTACTCTATATCATCAAACTATTGTTTCAGATGCTTATTAAAATCTATTTTGAGGTTTTTTTCCTTGTGCTACAGCAGTGCTTTTGCTGCACTTTTTTTTTTTTTTTACGCAGTTATGTTTTGTTACAGATATCAGTACTCAAAAACTGGAAGGAAACTGAAGTATGCAAGCTAAATGGCATAGCTGCCAATGCAGAAGCAAATCTCAAGGTGTTGAAGTCATTGAGCAGGTATGGAGAGTATACACCAGAAATTTCAGTACTACTAGTTGCTAAATACAAATAACTACTGAATGTTTAATCACGATTATTTAACTAGACAAGTCAGTTTTACTTACAAAGGGATGCTAGCTTGAAAGGTGCGTAGAAATGTAATAGTTAAATGCAGCTTACCTGAAGCTGAATTTCTTCTTGGTCTTAAATTACCAAGATGTGTGATACTTACACAGGAGCCAGCTTCTTGTCTTACTCTTTTTCAGTCGGGGAAGATCCAGCTACTGGGAACATTCCAGTTACTCCTGCACAGTATCACTGGGAAGGGGCTGCGATGTAAATAGAAGAGAGTGCAAACAAACCTGCATGGCATGCAACAACATTGTTTTTTTCCTTACAAGGCACTAATTTAGCCCTTGGTGTTACCTTTTTTAAAACTTGCGCCATGTTCCCTTTCCCTGTCCGTATGTTGCCGCAAAATACTAATTTACAGTTGAGGAGTCCACTTCTAAGATTGGATAGGATCCTAAGTACCAGTAATTTAACTGATTTTAGCTTTAAATTGCTTGAAGTCTTTAACTTGATTTAGTTGGTAGGAGTACTAAAACCATTGGTCTTAAATAAAAATAATGGAAATGTTGGAGTTTAACTGAAAATCTTGAATACTTCAGCAGCTCAGCTTCAGCAGCCCTTACGTTGAAGCCACAAATTGATTCTTGGGAAATATTTATTTCAAATGTAAAGAAACAACTGGATAAAGTAGAGGTAAGCCTTAATTTCTCTTAACAAGCTTTAAGTTGAACTTTGGAAATTAAAACAGAGTAAATACCATAAATAATTTTGCATTCCTTTTTTAAAACAGCAGTAGCTTGTCCTCCAAATACTGAACTACTTTTTTTTTTAATTACAAAAGAAAGACACAGTTTTAAGTCCAGATTATTTAAGTATAGTTAAGTTACAATTAATATCTTCAATTTTATAAAGGCAGGAATCTGTCCTTTATACACTTGCTTCAAAATTGGATCTCACATTAACAAGTCTAGTCTCTTGGTTCTTTTGTATTTGTTGAACTTTAGAAACCAGTGCAACTTCTCTAAAAACAACAGAAAAGTCTCTGAAAAGTTCAGATGTAAAATGTCTAGGCTGAGTTTTAAGAACTAGAAAGGGTTTCCCACACCCTTTCAAGCATCAATGCAAGTACTTAAGTACAGATTTATGTTATTATAGCAAATGGTAGCCTTACGTCTCCATTTGAAAGGCCTGGTATCTTTGGTGTTTTGCAAAAAAGTAGTTGTGTTAATGCCATTTTAAATAAAGAGCGAGCTTTAGTTAATGCTGGTGTGGAGGATAATTTGTTTTCCTTCTGCAGGCTGAGTATGAAGAAAAAATTCAGACGGTGAAAAATGGTGTACGGAACTGCCTGACTAAAATGGAAACTGTGGATCTTCCTTCTCCTCCCAGCGTCTTAGTATGTATCTTACATTTGAGAGCAGTTTGTTAAGAAGTTCTTTAAGTTTGGATTGGTATGACTATCTGTTATAGGACATGTACATAAAGAACTTGAATGTATAGCCTTGAATACAAAGTGATCTGGCTCTCCATACGTCCAGGTAACATTCAGAAGGAAAAGGTGACTGCAGATTAGCATGATGACATCCAGCAAGGAGCGCATTCTGAAGTCCTTTGAGAGGCTTAAGCTGTTTAAAGTTAGCTTTAAAATGCTTTATGTTCTGTCTGAATTGGGACTAATGTTTTTGCGTATCATGACTTTCCTGTAGTACCAAAATCCACAGGGACAAGGTCCCGTTACACCAACATGTCTAACTGATTACGAATACCAAAATCCACTTCCAGTCATATCTGTTATGGAGTATAGCCATTTATGGAAATGCATCTGTAATGACTACATCCCAGATAAATACTATTTAAAAACATTTTCTCATGGGCCAACAGTTCCACAAATGCTTTGCTCAAATCACGTCAGTTACTTCTGAACCCTGCGATTGTTCCTGGTGCAAGGATGAAGTTGGTGTAAGTCAATACTCCTTGAGCTGTTCATCAGCGTGGTGGTGGGGAGACACACGACAGTGATAAAATACTTACAGCCAAGATCGCGGTAGCAGCGGTGCAAACAACCTACGTGCTGCCATTCACGGACGGTAAAATTAAAGCCAGGGCACAGAGCTGACGCCCAGTCCTGCAGACAAATAGCGTTCAGAAACCACTGGACCTGGGACAGCTTGGAGTAAGGAAGAAAGGGTTCAGTCGTATCTCAAAATAGGGAGATAATTGACTCAATAAGCAAAACGCATTCATAGTGCACACATGTATGAAATCCCTGAACTCATTGAAGGTGCCACAGAACTCTCTTATATGTATTCTCTGCAGAAAGTAATGTTTTTTTCTTTTGTTTGTTTTTGGTATAATTTAGATTCAAGGCTCTGTTCTAATACTTGGTTTTTATGATTGTTACTACAGTTTTTCTGGACTTACACAAGTAATAGTTACACTTGTGCTCTCCTGCATACCTTTTCTTCCCCACTTCCTTCTAGGTATCTCCTTTCTACTTACTGGCACAGAACTTTTAACAGTATGTAGGTAACTTAGTTACCATCCCTAGGTTACCAACAATTTACAGGTTGGGAAAGAGTGACTTTCGAGCCTCTTGTTCTGCATTTGGTATCTATTTTTACTGCAGTAATACAGGAGTAACCTTTTAGAAGAGAGATCTGTAATTCTTTCAGCTTTGAGAGGACTTTAGTAGGCAAATACTGAGTCCAAATGAAAAAGACTTGATGAAAACCCTTTTTCTCCCTGTTTAGTTCATTCTGTTAATTAATTAAACACCTTTACAGAGAAGGTAAAATACTGCTTCAAAAAGGTGGTAAGCTAAAGAACACGGAACAAGAAGTAGCAGGTTCTATGAAGAAATGCAGAATTTTAGTTCTGTGCGTTAGAAAGCCACCTTCCTAGAGCAGTCAAGTTCTGAAACAAATAGCCGTCACGGGGTCAAACAACTAAACTTATTTTAAGGAGTTCTTTCCATTTATGGAAGAGAGTCATCGGTGCAAAAAGAAGTCTTCCTGGATCATGTCAGTTCCAAGTCAGTTCCAAGTTTTTCAAGATGATAACTATAGCTGACATGTGTTTCTGTTTAAAAAAAATTACACTGGATTATATATAGATTATATAATCCGTTAAAAGCAGTGAATTTTGTGTTTTCAAATTGATGGCACTTATTTAAAGCAGTTCTGTTTCTACCACCAGCTTCAAGCTATACTTCTGTACGACTTACAGCTGTCCAACAGCCATGCGTTCTTTAGCAAAGCAAGAGTAAGTTAAAGGAACAGTTTGCCTCTCTGCTGTCCTACTTAATCCTGTTTCAGACAGGATTACTATTACTATTGTAGTACCTGTTAAAGAGCACCTTAGTGCAATATGTTTACCTAGGTAAAGCAAGTTAAGATAAATTGATGTGACCTTCCAGTTCCTTAGTGTGACCAAATGTGTCATAGTTTATGCTGCAAATGCTCGAGAGTTCTGCTCAATTTATTTTAATCACTATTTTTCCTGTGAAATCTGTTTATTTCCTAGACAAAACAAGGCAGACCTCCAGTCAGTGATCCAGCCATTGTCATGTATTCCTCTGCATCTGCACATCCTACTTTACTTCCTGCATTTTCAAGTTCTGAAGATCAAGGTCCAACACATCCTTCATCTAATACACAGGCCAGAGTTAAGCCAGCATATGCGGATTCTAAGGCTTGTTCTGCAAGTGGCGGATCAGTGAAAACACACTCCAAACCTCTGGAAGGATCATACTCTGATAAAGTTTCAGTAACTTGCCCGTCAGGGATTTCTGGAAGTAATATTCAGAATGTCCAGCCAAACCAGAACCTCCAAGATGACTCAGCTATACAACTGAGGCCTTCCGGACTTCCAAACAACAAAATGCTTCCAAAAGCATTTGAAAATATTATTGCGCGTCTACAGAGTATATTCCCAAACTATAGCAGGTATTTGTTTTAATGAGTGAACTGTTATGTTGAGTACTAGCAGTTCTGAACATCCAATGATAAAGTACAAAAAGAATTGATTTCCTAGTAGATGGCTTCTGTTTCACGAGAACAGTAATATGAGTTGTTCCCCTCCCATTCAGTGAGACACTCCTTAAGGGGATAGACCTATGGTGTTGGCTTATGTGTTTTGGGTTTTTTCCCCAATTAGAACCACTAAGAAATAGAAGTATTATTATTTTATTGTTTGGGGTTTTTTATGCTTAGTTATTGAGAGGTATTGGAAGCAGGTTACTTGCTACAGTTCATTTGAGAAGTTAGTATCTTTTAAAGGCTCTACTGCTGTGAGTCAAATATGGAAGCTACAGTGTTCTCCAATACAGTGACTATGCTGGTAACAGCCATGGTATTGCCAGTCAGTAATTACGTCTTTTCTGTCCCTTCAGTTCAGACTTTATTAGCTTCATAAAAGACGTACAAAGAAGAAACGGGAATACATTGTCAGGCTTGAGCTTCGATGAAATTCTAAGCAGAGTGACAGAACTCATTCTGGACCAGCAAAATAAGGTACAAAATAAGGTACTGTGGTGTATGTAGTTGCTGCCTTTTCTACTGTGCATCTCTGACAGAGGAAACAGTGCAGCACAGTCCAGAAAAGAACGCAAACTTCCCTTTGGTGTCAAGCTCTGAAATACGAACTTGCTCCAAATTCTTCTCCAATACCTGTCTAGGCACCAACTTCAGCGGGGAGACCTGCGAAGTCCGTATCCTCTGCTTCACCGGCACAGGCTGGAACTCGTAGTCGGGAAGTACCTGCAGAAGAAAATGTACCCAGCCCACCCAAGGCACGACCTACGCATAAAAACGCCTCGAGTAAAAATCCATCTCAGCCAAATCTCCAGCCCTGGGGAAATGTTGGAGCAACACCTAAATCTAAATGGAAAAAACTAGACTATACCGTAAGTTCTCCACTGTTTCAGTGAACATGAAGTGACTGCCCTGTACTTCTTATAAGACATGAAATAATCAAAGTGTTGCTGGAAAAAATAATTGATTTGTTCATTTTGCGTACAAAAGCTTAAATATACTTGGTTAAAACTAGTAACATCATTAACTTACTAGAATTTGCTGATTAATTGTTGCTAGCTTTCAAGTAACTTAAGATTTTATGTATAGGTCTCCAGTGATGATCCTTGCACAATATGTCATGATGAGCTAAGCAGAGACGCGTGTGAACTAGAATGTGGGCATCGTTTTCACAGAGAAGTAAGGATTTTTGTTCTTACCGCTTAGATGCAAATGTTTATGAACTCTGTTCAGGTATGCTGCTGTTCCACTTTCTAAAAGCAACCCTCCCCCCTCTTACCCTCCAGTGCTTAAAGAACAGTGCACCGTTTTCTTTTACGTACTGTGTACACCAAGGCTTGCTATATATGGTCTTACTGTGTCTGAAAGTTTCCAGTTTTAGTTTTTTAACTAAAATGGTAATTCATCACAGTGAATTTAAGCTTATTCTTCAGAGGATAAATTTGGTAGTCAAGTCACAGATTTGTTTGCAGCATACTTACAGAATGGGCTATCGCTATAAACCCTGCATTTGCCACCTGATAGCAGTTGCATGTATAATTTCATGTAGTAAGAAAGTCAGGATTATGTTAGAATAACTTGATATTTCTGTCCATGGCTTCTTCCTGTTACCTTATTGGTTTATTGCTGATTTGTTATTGCAGAATAGGTGCAAGTGTAACTTGATCAGCGCAGCTCCAGAACTGGAGAACAGTTTTCTGTTTTAGTAACTTAAAACGTTGGAAAAGTGCTTACCTATTAGTGACAGTTACTGACATACTTAAGCTGAACTCTTTACACCAGGCTTTGTTTCCTCAACATCTTCCTATTCTTGCAGTGCATTAGAACATGGCTTAAGCAACATTCCAGTACCTGCCCTATCTGCCGTGTTCATGCTCTGTTACCTGAAGACTTCCCTGAGCTTCCTGCACGGAACAAATATGCCTAAACCTTGTTTTATTTGAACACATTATAATAAGATGCAAAGTGGCTGCAGAATAACCACCGTGATAACGAACAGAAACACGACGCCTGGAAAGAGACAGAACCCTGGTTTTATTGAAAATGGTAGTAGAACTCAGACTGGTTCAGTATTTAACACTTAGCATTAAGCCCTAAGACGCCGGTACTGCCACGGCACCTGCAGAATCAAGTTAGCATCCTCCAAGGTCCAGCACTTTTCCTGGTCGCTGCCTAAACGTGTGACGCCGATGTAGTTCAGAGGCCAGCAGCACACAAAACTGGTACCTTTTTTTGGCTAAGGGCTATTTAAACTACTGCATCTACTTTTCTCAAAGGATGGTGCATAACTCCTGTAAAGAGGGGGCTTTCCTTCAGAGCTTACGCTGAAAATAAATTCTCATATTGAACAAGTAGGTGACCTGAATGACAGACTAGCAGAATTTGGAAGAGCCAAGACATTACCTTCCTCTGGCATAAACAATTACAATTTTAACTGCAGGATTCAAATCAGGCTTGTTGTCATCATTATGAATGCAGTTCATATAATTGCCGCTCCTTTCTCTGCATAAATCCATAACTAATAATTCAAATTGTTTAACTAATGACTTTTAGTAATATTTTGAAGCAAGAATTTTTAAGCATTCATGGGATTCTTTCTCTTTGTGTATCACTGAATTGGAATACTGTAGCTCAATTCTTTAATCTTGAAATACGGTTTGAATGTCCCTCGTTGAAGAACTGATTTGTTTAAATCAGAATCACAGGATTTTTATTTTTGATGAAGCAACACTGCATCTATATTCTGTGCATGAATGTTCATCAGCAGCGTGAGAACAGAACACCACCAGCTGAAAGACTGGTTATCCTACTGCTTTAAAAGTCTGAGCTTGCCCCGGTACCTTCATCACTGTAAAATTTGTCTCAAATAGCCAAAAGACCAGGACTAGAGCGTGTACAGCTTAACCACTCTGAAAATAGAGTGTGACTGTTGTTTGGATACCAGCAGTATTAAATTGATTATGCAAAATGAAGTTAGCTAATTATAGGGATCATTTGTTCCCCCAAGTGAGTATGTATCCTCCAGATGAAGTTTTAAACTACTCTGTGATTAATCAACACTTGGATCGAAAATAAAATTACTACTGCAGCTGATGTGGGTTTTTTTGTGTAGTATTTTTTAAGTCTGAGTTGTTGGCGAGTAACCTACTATATGCTAGGGTGCTAAGGCACCTTGCTGCCTGAAGAATTACTTGCTGCGTTGCTCAGCGTTACAGCACTTGCATCCTTTTCAGCTTCCATTATTTTCTTCGGGGACACACACACATCTGTGTGTATATATATATAAAAAATCATCTTGGCTTTTCACAAAAGCAGCCTAAGTCCTTGGCACTCAGGATCCTTTTCCAGCGCAGAGGTCTCCTTGAGCTGCTAAGCCATGTGGAGACAGTGCACGGCCTTAGCACTGAGCTGACATTTACATAGACTTGCTTGTTATCAGCCAATCTTTTTTTTCCTATACACACAGCACAGACCCCACGTTCCCAAATAAACAGGATGGGTTGTGATCTGTGTTCCTTTTCTCTTCCCTGACTCCCATAAAGCTGGAAGAATTTCAGTGATTTCCAGAGACAGTTCATTCACCCCTTTAAAAAGGAGTCTCCCTGCCGTGCCCCCCCCCCCACGTCC